GACGGCATTCCAAATCGTATTTGGTTTGCGCCAATCCTTTATATATATATATATATGTGTGTGTGTGTGTGTTTATTCAATGTCAGGATATTTGTACGCCTTCAGGCATATTTATGGATGAATCAATTACACAGCCTACACGTATTCCACCGAATGTCCGAAGTCTTTGTGTGATTTAAAAAGTATCCACAAATAGGCAGCAATAGTTACACGGATGGACTATAACATAAGTGACTGTGTCTGGTGGATGTGTATATATCTGGTAGTGCCTGAGTACGACAATTTAATAAATCCGATGACTCCTTCAATTATACTCATTCTATTCTGAACTACTTGTATCCATTGACTATCTTTTATTCTTTTTTTTGTGGTTGAGGGTGGGGTGGGGGTGGATGTGAGCTGTACTAAGTTTCGTGATAGTAAGCAGACGAGAGTGTGGCGCGTTTACCTGCTACGATTCTGTATCTCGACAACAATAGCGTTCGAATACCGTGTCGGACACTCTATACAGAAGTATCGCACATTGACGGTGATTCACACGTGTGCTGTATTTGTCTATGATTATTAATTAACGGTGCACAAAACGTATACAGCTTCATTGAATATTAACGGTGCATAATACGTATACAGGTTAATTAATGATTAACGGTGCACAATACGTATACAGGTTCTGGATGAATCGACTGTAATTCAGGAGACCAAAGGGCAGAACAAGCAGCTTATAGAGTTCTTGCTGAAGCCTGAAAACTTTACGGAGTTGATGGAAATGATCACTGTCAGTCCTGGGGAAGACGAACCGTTGGAAATCAGATACAAGTATGTGTTGGGAAACAGTAGTACCAGGACGTATTTGGGACAGTTGATATGTAGGGTTGTGCAAGGAATAAAGTAATATGGGGTTGTGTATGGAACACGCAAATTAAAAGTATGTGTATATATAGTAGAGTACTACAAATGTGTGTATAAGATGGAGCGTATCCAAGTATGTGTTTACAATAGGGCGATGCTAGCGTATGTACGAGACTGTTGCACATATGACCATGTGTGTTGTTACTGCATCGATGACCGCGTAGACTGAAGAGACCGACACCGGTTTGAGCGACAGAGGTGTATGTAATGGATAGTGAATGTGAAAGTGGTGTATGCAAGAGATAGTGAATGTGAAAGTGGTGTATGTAATGGATAGTGAATGTGAAAGTGGTGTATGTAAGAGATAGTGAGTGTGCAGTATGTACAGTATGCCTGTATTAGTATAATACTGTGAAGGCACCTCATACAACGACTACCGTTGAAGCACACTATGGCTATATACGCACTTTAAACGCACACCATGGCTATACACGCACTTTAAACACGCACCATGGCTATATACACACTTTAAACACACACCATGGCTATATACACGCTTTAAACGACACACCATGGCTATATACACATTCTAAACACACACCATGGCTATATACACACTTTAAACACACACCATGGCTATACACACACTTTAAACACACACCATGGCTATATGCACACTTTAAACACACACCATGGCTATACACACACTTAAAACGCACACCATGGCTATACACACACTTTAATTAAACGCTCTTCACACCCAGAGTTGAATGTTTCCCGCGGTTTTACCTGTGCGTACCAACGCTCTCGTCCAGATACGACAGTCACCGCCTTACTTCCCCGTGCCCTTTTGCTCATTACCCGTTTCCTCTCTTTCATACCTACTTACACATACATTCCACTCCAACCAATCTCTTTGTTCACCACCCCGTCCTCTCTTTCATATACCTACTTACACATTCATTCCACTCCAACCAATCCCTTTACTCACCACCCCGTCCTCTCTTTCATACCTACTTGCACATCCATTCCACTCCAACCAATCCCGTCACTCACCATCCCAGATACCCCAGTGTGGCATGCGATGTTTTATCGTCCGAGGTGAAGCCCATTTGCGCCGCGTTTTTCGACGCGTCTGATCGGCTAGAAACGCTGTGGTCGTGTTTCCAACGGCCCCTGCCCATGCATCCGCTGGAAGCGTCGTTTATCACGCGCGTGCTAATTGCGCTGGTACAAAAGCAGCCCAATGAGATGAGCGCGTTTATCCGCGCCAAGGGAAGCGAGGTGAGTGGGATATATATATATATATATATAACAACCCGGTGCTGGCGTGTGGGTTGACTGCAAGTGCAAGTGAACACGGTCACGCGCTGGGGCAATTAAGGCAATAGAGCAATGTGTGCATGTGTGCGGACATTGATCTGTTTAAGATGGAATAGCGCATGTGCTTGTGCTTGTGCTTGTGCTTGTGCTTGTGCTTGTTGGCGCAGTCATTGGCTTGTGTGTATGTGTGTATGGCCACCGTTGGTAGGGGTTGGTGTACCTTGCTGTGACTATGCGTTTACATAGTTATTTATTTTTGTTTAACGTTTTGTGCATTCGGTGGGGTTTTTTTGTCTATTGACCAATAGCCACGTACTGAACAAGTGCATATCAACGAAGGAATGAACGTGACATTTGCATATTCGTGCCCTTCGTCACTTTGAAGATAAAAATTTTAAAAATAAGCTTGCCAATAAACCGTTTATGCCAATAAACCGTTTAAAAACTCAAATGTACAAAATGCTATATGAACTGGTAAGTGACCTGGTGTGTTTAGGTGCTTCCAAACCCAATTATATGGTCATGGTTGTATTCGATCCTGAATGTTCACCCCAAGGCTACAATTGTACAGCTCGCAACATATATTATTTTAGTCTTGTGAGAATACGGGCCGCGGATTGTCGTGTTATACAGACTATATAGACGCTACATCGCACTTTGCCGTTGCCTTCTGCTCTGATTACCTACTGAATGGGGCTGATCTCCCTTCACTCTTATCACAGGGCATCATCGATGTCCTGCGGCATTTGGGTACCAATGGAGTGCTTGAATTTGTCAAGAAACTGATGAACAGTCACGTCAGTTCGGAGAACAATGAGATACAACAGTGGTTGTCCCAGTGCGATTTCGTGGGCACGATTGTATCTATGCTACACGGAGTGGTAAGTCTCGTAATCTCAATGTGCTTGTGTGTTGTGGGATTGTATCTTATGCTACATAGAATGGTAGATGTCGTAATATATATATATATATATACATGTATGTGTGTATATATTTATATATATATGTATGTATGTATATGTATATGTATATATATATATATATATATATATATATATGTCTATGCATGCATAATGCATGTTTGTATCGTATACACACACATATATATATGTGTGTGTGTGTATATATATGTATATGTATATGTATATATATAAATATAGGTGTGTCTGTGTGTATGTGTGTATGTATGTATGTATTTATGTATGTATGTATGTATATGTGTATGTATATTTATATGTATATATATATATATATATATATATATACTCACACACACACACATATATATATATATAATCATACATCGACCTGTCGGCCTGGTCCGCTTATACAATAAGAATGACTAGTGTCAGTCTCCGGTGAGCTGCAGAGTGAATCCATTACTAACAATACAGTTCGGTGTATATCACTGCCACCTAATGCATGCTTATCTGCGTATCTACTTTTCAAAGTTCGTACTGATATCAATCTATACATAGTTTATATGGTGGTGGGTTTATTTTATATATTCATATATAAATCTGAGCTGTGTATATACGTAATAGCCTGTTATATTGGTGCTGTATTGACCCCGTCATCCCGGGTCTCATACTCGTTAAACGTATTCTCCCTCTGTGTTTCCCTCGTGTTATCCTGAGTCCCATACTCGTTAAACGTACATTCTCCCTCTGTGTTTTCCCTCGTATTATCCCGCGTCTCATACTCGTTAAACGTATATTATCCCTCTGTGTATTCCCTGGTGTGTCTGTGGTGTACCTATCAGGATCCCAACCTTGTAGCGACATTCGATTACGGCACAACGGACGAGGAAGTGATTGTCATGACCATCGCAAATGCCAGAGATCTGCTGCTGGATATGGTCAACGTCCGCGAAGAACTCAGCATAGGTCAGTGCGTTGTTCTCACGTTTTAACGTTGAATAGGTCGGTACGTTGTTCTCACGTTTTAAGTTAATCTGGGATACTGTGTCGTAGTAATTACTACTACACACACTATAGTGTGTGCTTTTCAACAAGATGCGGATTGGAAGCTACAGGCATGCAGCACGGGTGGCGATACGTTTTGTTGGATAAAACGTAATTCATCAGTGTACAGCCGATCAATAGACTCACATTTGATCGCCCCAGTCAACTACATCACACTGAGCATGCGCCTGCAAGCTTACCCTCTTGGACCATTACATACTAGAATAATAACTACGCTCATCAGAAGCAATTTACCTTCTGACACATATACATACACTTACACCTGGAGGTACTAGTACACATACACCCAGATACTTAATAACTACTATCCACGTCTTTTATCAGAAGATACTCACCTGCTGAATTAAACATGACATGTACATAACATACACATAACATACACATAGCATACAAACAACATGCACATAACATACACCTAGAAGTACACTTGTGAAGACACTTGCTAGCCACATCTTTCGCACGGTGCAGCACCTGCCTTTCGGGTCGAGTATCGCCAGACATTCACTTGTGGTAGGCTTCTTAACCCCTCTAGGTGAACTTGTTGTGTTGTTGTGCGTAAACTCAACGTATATCCCCACTGTCCCTCTCCAATCACTACACTCTGATCACCTTAACTCAACGTACAGCCCCACTGTCCCTCTCCAATCACTACACTCAGGTCAGTATGAAGATACCACCCCCATGCAGCTGTTGGGCGAGTTGACCATGCCGCTCACCCTCAAGACACTGACCGACGTCACATTCCGGGATCCCGGTTTACTGCCAGGCTCGTTCTCACAGTGCACCATCGCCGACGGTGTGAATACTGAGCAAGCGGATAGTACGCTCGAGGCTATGGTAGACGACACGGGTAAGGAGAAGGCAGCGGACGAGAGTGCAGAGAAAGAGAGTGCTGAGGCATCCGGGGATTTAGTAATGATTAGTGCGGGCGAGGGTGTGTCACCCACGGTCAATGTGGGGGTCGAGGCCGGCATGACTATCATAGAAAAGGTCATACATAGGTATGTACATGTGTGTGTGTGTGTGTGGCATAACTATCATAGAAAAGGTCATACATAGGTATATATGTATGTATATGCGTAAGGTCATACATAGGTATGTACGTTTGTGTGTGTGTGTGTGTGACATGACTATCATAGAAAAGGTCATACATAGGTATGTATGTATTTATATGTGTAAGGTCATACATAGGTATGTATCTATTATGTGTGTGTGTGTGTGACAAGACTATCATAGAAAAGGTCATACATAGGTATGTATGTATGTATATG